CTTCGGAACAACCCTTGCCTGCTAGTGCATCTGCAGCCTCTAACAGCAGAAGTGCCCAGATGTGACCCCCCACAACAGCACACCAACATCAGTCAGCATGCCAGGCTCCCCACAGAGCAGGAGAAGGCTCTGTTTGGAGTCCTCCCTTCCCTCTGGCACCTTCAGCTTCCTGTTTTCAAGAAAACCCAGCCAAAGACAAACCCCTTTCTATCCCTAATTCCTCTCCACTTTGTAAATCCTCCTCCAGTTCCAAGAGCCATCATCATACAGAAGACCTACATAATCTAGAAAGTCATCTGCCTACTCAGAGCCTGCCCTATAGATATGTATAGAAGGACGGGGGTTCTTAGATGGGGAACACCAGGCCACTGGTGACCATGAATAATTTGCACTGATAAAACTCTGTCAAAGAAACTGTTACAGCCTTTGGCTCCTATGCCAATGCACTATTTCATGAACTGATTTAAAGTCTCACCCACCTGTGTTACTTCCCTTCTGATTTGGTACCTTTTAATATACACTAAGTATTTGTTGCTGTCAAAACATGAGTAAGCTTTTTGCACTCCTTAACAGGCCAATTTCCTACAAATCCCTGACTTCTAGCTAGTGTCTCAGACTCTGTAAAGGCCATAATTCATTCTGTAAATATCAGAGCACTCAAATTTTTGATATTCAAGTGAGAAACTTGCATTTACATTGTTTCAGACTGTACCAGTACTGGAAGGAAGAAAGTTAATGAGAAAGAAATTGAGTATTAGGTTTGGAGGAGTCAGACTTCGAGAAGGGGAATTTTGAGATTTCCCCCCACACTTAGATAACCTCAGGGTCCCCCTTTGTACTGTGGTCTCTGTGCTCTGAACAGGTTAGCAAGCTGGTTGGAGGGGAGAAGGGGTGTAAACACCTAACAAATCTCTTGTAGGATGCTCACAATTTACTCAGAAAGGAACTGTCACTCCAGCTCACATAGGTTAACGAAATAAACATTTCCACATGTTTTTCCTCCAGGCAGTTGACCACTGCCTTCACAAACCATTACATGTACATATCCCAGTAAGCCACACTGCTTTCCCTCATCAGCTTTGTGGAGCATAAGGAGACTCAGCCATGTAACAGCTCTCCAGACTTCCTGCAGTGTCAACCTGGGGGACATCAGTAGGTAACAGGAGCATCCCATCAAGTATTCCTCAACTGATGGGTCAGAGCTGGCACCTCAGTTAAGGAGGAAAATCTTTTTCCCCTCTCAAGTGAGCTTTACTTTATAGAGTCACTTAGGAGTCTTCTTTGAGCTAGGGACCTGGAGCTGCCTGCTCCCTGTTAAAACTAGCTTAGAGGAAGAGGCCAGAACATGTTCAGGCTATGCTACTGGCTCATTATGCTGTTCAACAGTTCACATGGCAAAGGCTGCTCTGGGAAAGATACTAGATGCAGCACCCTGAACATATAAACCACCATCAACCAGAGTTACTGACACTCATATAAGAATACCACAGCTGGATCTTGATCAGAGACCACGAGCCAGCAGTTTTTCCATCCTGAGATCCTAACTCCTACACGCTTTGTTTTTAGCAGCATACTGGCCTGCCAGATCTGTGGTTGTATCATTCTTGGAAAAGGCTGCTTGTTATGAGAGTAGGAATGGATAAAGGGGTCTGAGACCTAAAGAGCAGCCAAATTGACGAAATCAGTTCACATTTTGTTGTTATTTAAAGTCCAGTAAACGCAACCATAAGAACAAGGGAAGTCTGGATGAAATCCCGTAGATTCTTTGGCCTGACTAAACAGTGCTATACTGGAAGCTGAGACAGGGAGAAAAGGCTTTAAGCCATGCTTTTATCCCCTCTGTCCTTGGGCTGACCCAGCATGGCTGTTGGATTTGGACATGTCTGACCACTTAGAGGGTCTGTTTTCCAAGGGTTTGGAGCTCTCCTATCATGACACTCCACACAATCTGACTCTGCTAGCTTTGAATAGAAAAAACTTGCAAGTGAGGGTTAAAACTTCAGTTTTGCAAAGAAAAATAAGATGAGGTGCTTTTCACATTAAAAAAAAAAATATCTCCTTTCTTGCAGCATAGCTGAGGAAGCCAACAGCTTAGCACAAGAAAGCTACCTGTATTTTTACTCAGCATTTCAGAAGAACCTTGTGGTTTATGCTGTTGCTGTATCCACAGAACTACTGGTACATGACCTAGCTAGATTAAAGTTACCCTAGACATGCCTGCATGAACCACAGTCACACATTCAACTGCAGTACAGACGTATGCAGGGACTGGCAGAGCAATTTCTTAAGCATAAGACAAATTAAGCAGAATGCCAAGTTTGTGGAGTATTTATTTCCCCTAGCTTGTGTTGCCTCCCATGGCTCAGCTCCAACCCCAGCACCTGTTCCCCCAGGCTGACTATCACAAACACATCTACAAACACCAACAGACTTGGAAATCCCTGCTCAAGCAATGGAGGTCACAGTGCTGTAACACCAACCTACGTTTAAACCCACCCATGGTACAACCATACAAGATATGCCTTGGAGGGAGGTAGAGAATGAAAACAGAGTCAGAGCCTCCAGAAGCTAATAGTTGCTACTGTTCACAGGCTCCTATTGCTTGTTTGTTTTGAGGTGGAGAAAAGACCTTTGAAGATCTTTAGTCTCAAATCAAGATTATTGCCAATATTAGATAAAAGTCAGCCATGGTTTTGTCTGACTGAACCTATAAAACCACATGGGTCAAGACTGAAGAGCCTCTCCAAGTACATATTTCAATGTTGCACCACCCTCATAGCAAAAGCAAATGTCTAGTACCCCAAACTTTTCCCATAATGTGAGTGGGTGTTTCACAGCCTCCCAAGCAAGAGCATGTTACAGCTGACCTCTGTAAAAAAAACACATTCAGTAGTTGCAACTTACTAGATCACCTCTTAGACTCCTCTCTGCCAAACTAAACCAGCGCAGCTGCCCCTGCTCTTCCCCATAGGTCACATGCTCTGGGCTGCTGAACACTGTGGTAGATCTCTACTGGATGCTCTCTTCTTATCCTTCTGAGATGGGGAGTCCCTAAAACTGAACACAGTATTTGAGGTATGGCCACACTAGTGCTGAACACAAGAGGCTAGTAACTTCCTTCAGTCTGCTAGCCACACTCCTCCTATGGTAGTATACACAACAGCGCAAAATTAACAAACTGAGTAGGTGTCTAATTTGCAAAGAGACTGCCCTCCTGGCTTATTTGCAACCTGGCATCTACTGCAACTTCCAGGTACTCAGCAGGGCTGTCACTCAACCACTCCATCCCCAGACTGGCCAGACATGGGGTCATTCCACTGTACAATCAGGACTTTAGTCTTCTCCCTAGTGCATTTCATGAGATTACCTTTAGTCAAGTCCACTCAGAATTTAAGTTCTAGCATTTAGCTTGTCAGTCAGTCTGCCTAGTTCACAAATTTGCTGGGGGTACACTGAGTTGTCCGGGTCACTAAGAGCTTTTTTCAATATCAGATCCACTATTAGTCCATGAGGCACTTTGCTCATTTCAAGCCACCAGAGACCTAGCTTCTGAATCTTGTGGTCCAAGTTTTCAACATATCTGTTAATCTGAGAATGTTGCGGGAGATGGCATAAGAAGCCTCAGTAAAGTTGAAGTACCTTAATCTTTCCCTTCACCCACATAGCCAGTCATTTCATCATACAAGGTCATTGTGTTTGTCAAGCAGGATTTAGCAATAGTAAATTGAAACCTGTTGACAGCTCCCAGTTACTTTCTTGTCATTCATGCATTTGGAAACAGACTCCATAAGGAACCTGAGGTGAGCCAGCTAGTCTACAATTTCTCCAGACATTCCTGTAAGCTCAAAGAGAGCCACGTTTACTGTTTTTTACTACTAGCATCCTTGCAGTATCTGTATTGTTACTCTTAATGTCCCTCACTAATTTTATCTCCCAAATTCATCACTAAACAGCCAAACAGCACTCAGCTGACTTATGTTTCCACTTCCTATATGCTTTTTTTTTTTTTGCTTCTTAGTTCAATAACAAGCTCCTTCCTTAGTCAAGCAAGTTTTCTACCTAAATTCCCGGCCTTCCAGCCCAACAGGTTCCCAAGCCCTTAAGTTTTCTTTCAAAGTCTGTAAGCTCTCCCACCTCATAACAGAATCCCTTCGTATTCTGCTCCCCAATATCTTAGATGCGCCAAAGTCTGTTCTGCTTAGAGTCATGACTCCACAGTTTACCTTCTCAGCCTTATTCTGGGCTCTCAACTGAGTCATCTCAGTCACAGCCACTTCAGCCCAAAGCACAACCTTACAGACAGCTTGTGACCATGCATGTAAACTATTCTTCCCCAGTTCCTTGATGTCAAGTGGAGAGCTACCCCACCTGCCCTCTTTAAAGTGAACATCAGGAAACCGTCACCAAAGACAAGCCCAGCAGTCTGGGCACTGCCTGTTTTGCTGGCACAGCACGCTCTCAGCAGGTGTCTGAGTGGTATGAGTCTCCCTTAAGGACCAGAGGGTGAGACTTCTATTACTTGTTTGTAGGAAGCCTTCTTCCCTTCACACACCTGGTCAGACAGTCTAAGAGACCTCCTCTTACCCCTAGCCCTCAATCTCTCTTCTGCCCTAACAAACACAGCTGAAAACCCTCTATCCTAAATTAACAAGTCTGTCTGCAATGTTTTGACTTAGTTTAGTTACAACTGCTTGTTTTCAGGCATTTCTGTGTACACTAATTGATTAAAAACAAGTATGCTCTATTTACATTTTACATTTTCAAAAAAACACATTCTAGCTGATAACTGGCAGCTAGTATGACAAACAATTACACATGCAAAGGGTTTTCTCCTGTAGAGTAGTGACTGTTCAAAAATAGTTATAGATTGAATTATATGATTATTTTTTTTAAATTAGAGCTGGAAATGCTCACTTGGAAAACTAGACGTTTGCAAATTTTTGACTTAAAATCCAAACCAGACTTTTTTAAAAAAAAAAAAGAATACAACTTTACAACTACATTTTTATTATCATAATAAAGGCTTACAGGAAATGCAACACTGAAATTGTAAAGAAAGTTATTTCTAAAATTACCAGAACAGCCATCTTTTTACATTCTTAAATAATAATGTATTGTTAGCAAACTCACCAGAAATAACTACAATAGGCCTCTTGCTCAACATGACTTGGAAAACAGCACATACCTTTCCAATCAGTAACGCGCTAACATCATCCTGCATTTCCAATGTGGAAGACCACACAGCTGCCCTTCTCTCCCCTTCCTGTCTCTAAGATGCACCAGCATTAAACAGCAGACTTTCTGGTTGCCAGAGCAGAGTCTAATTTAAAGTATTTGTTTAGTCTTGGCAGTTGCACATGGGCCATAACACCACAGATAAGACCTGTCACACAATCACACAGTTCTAGAAACAGCATCCCCTCACCTTCGGAGTCTTATAGGCATGTTTGGCCATCATCTTAAAGCTTCCCTGCATAGCAGAGAAGGGACTGGAGGCCCCAGATATAACAGATGATCCCTCCCAACTTTAATCCCCCAAATGAGAAGGAAATAAGAATTCAGCTGTTCTCTTCACTTTCTCAGAATGAACAGGTATCATTTGTCATGCTGATGGGTATTAGAAGGTTGCCTGTTGAAATCCACCAGCACTAGCACATTTGCTCACTTTCTGAAGGACTGAGACAAACACTGATGTTTCTGAGTAGTCTTAAAAAAATCATGAAGATTTATTACCTTAAAGCAAGCTTTTTACCTCTTAGGCCAAATCACAATATGAATCTCTCTGCAGACTGCTTGTGTCCTGTTGCCAACACCAAAATAGTAGCCCCCACACAGGTAGAAACTCCCTTCTCTGAAAAATGTCTCCCTGCTCCTGCAATGACAAGGAGATCATTGGACATTGAGCAAGAAACTCAATAGTACGTGACTGTTCTGCACAGATAAAAAGGCAGATCAGCCAGGCCCAAACTATTGTGGGTGCAAACCTAGCATGCACTAGGGCTGGTAGGAGTGCCAGCCCCCTGTACCCTGAAAACTACAAGAAGGGCAGGTTAGAGGTCCTGAGGAATACACAGGAGGTCCCTCAAGACACAGGAGAAGGAAGACAGGAAAAGTGGGATGCATCAATGATATAATGACAACCCTTGCTGTGACCTACTGGCACAAGATCAGACAAGCAGATCATTAAAGAAAAGGGATTTCTATTTTCAGCCCAACAGAGTGAGGCTGTTTTCTGATGTCCAAAGTGGGAGTTTTGATGTTTTGTGAAAACAGTTTCAACATCACAAGGCACTTTCTCTGGCTTGTAGGTTCAAAGGAAAAATGTGACAGGACAGGATAAAGAGCTTGATTCAGACATGGCTGATAAACATATGCTTTATGGCACCTGTCCTGTAAATTTGATCCTTCACCTTTCAGAGTACACTGTAGATGGGGGACCACCTACAACAGAGGTGGGACAGGACACCTTTTAAAAAAAAAAAAAAAAAAACCAAACAGAAATAAAGGATAAGGAGAGTATAACTATAGGGCTAAAATACATTTCATAGCAAACAAGCCTTGCATTCTTTCAATAGGTCTTGTCAGGTTAGCAGTATCAAGTTTACGTGCTCTTAAGATGGGTTAGTTATTGTAGCCATACAATTATTATTATTTTTTTTTTTTAAACAGACATCTCTACTTTTTTCTTCTGGTCATTCTTCCCCTCCATTGCAAGGACTTACTAAAAAGTATTTTTTTTGTAAAGTTATTTAAATTTTAAATGTAGCACACATTATTGCATTCTTTTTTCAGTTAACTGGAGTTAAGTTAGTTTAAATGCCACTCACAGTGCTTGACCTCCTCATGCCTAATAAAATAAAATCCTTCCAATCTTAATGAAGGAGCAGCATTGTGCACAAAGCAGATGATAGCTCTGAGAATACTTGTTTTCCAACTTCTGCCATGTGCTGCTTGGGTGCTTTCCAGGGAGTTATTTTACTTCATTGTGCCTCAGTACCTGTGTAAGAAATGAAAATGTTACCCATGAGCATGCTATAGGAAACAGATATTAACATTGTGGCAAAGTCAAAGAAAACATCTGAAAATTGTTTTTGTGATTTAACACCTTAAAAATTATATACCTCTCTCACCAGTAAATAAGACTAAGATGCACTTCTTCCATAGCACCATTTTTGCACATGGGAATAAGGACTGCACTTATAAACAGTAAGGAGTGATGCCTGTTGTTTATCACAGTGTAAGAAGTCCCAGCAGAGATGGCTTGATCACAGTGATTCTTAGCGAGATGAGCCATCTTTACATATACAAATGAAGTCCGTAAGTAATCGCTGTGCTTTCTTCTCTGAATAGGGACTCGGGGAATCTGCTTCCCTGGGGAGCTCTAGAGAAAGAAACCATCAACAGTAGCTAAGATAAAATAATTATTTCCCAGTGACACGAAAGTCACTAAAAAAATTCCCATGATGGAAAAAACAGATAAGTCACTTCAGTAATCTGGCATGAAACAGATAAATAAGAAGATCCTTCAGAAAGAATTTTAGCCTCCTCAGAACCACAAAAGAAACCTGTATGCAACAGAAGAGTTATACAGAGCATCTCTATTTACTATTTTCCTGCCCGAGGGCAGCTAAATGGTTCACATTAGGAGCAACATTCAATAAATATTTAACTTTTTTTAGAATGGACTTTCAGCGATCAAGAATTTCCTTTATATGGAATACTTATTCTGGTACATTGGCTAATACTTCACATACTCAACGAACAGCCATAAGCTCCAAGTTACTTTGAATTCATGGAAAAATATCAGCATGAGGATAGAGGAAAAAAAAAAAAAAAAAAAAAAAAAACATGTTTCCATGTGAAAGCATAATGTGCAACTTCCTGAAGTCAGCCCCCCCGTGCAATGGAACAAAATCAGCCAGCTCCCTCCAGTATCTGCCTGGCTGCTAACAAATTAGTGATGAAGTATGCAGAAACACAACAATTAGCATTGTGTTATTAGATACTTCCTATCAAGAAGTGGAACACAGACACCTCTTGTTCCAACCAGGGACCCTTGGACCGATTCCCCAGTGTATCTCTTCTCACAGTGCCCACGGGATGCCCATGCTCAGGACCTTCTGGGGAACCCAAGGAACTCAATTTGTGCTCATATAGGTCCAGTCAGCTCCTGGCAGAGGCTGAGCACTGCAAAATGGGCCGTGAAAGGATGCTGGTCCACTGACTGCTCGGGGCTGGCGCTCCTGTGCTGCCTCCCCTGCTCCAAAGGGGCGAGCTGGGGGACCAGAGGGATGAGTGGGGAAAAGCAGGTTTCTCAGGAGAAAAATAAAAGCGTGAGGCATGCAAGTCATCCATCCAGGGCTGCGTTTGCCTGTTCTTCTGCCAGCGTGAGCCGCTTACATCCCTGCGAGCAGCCTCGACGCGTTTTTGCGCCGTCCAGCAGTGCCCTCCAGCGCCCGCGGCTGGCCCCTGCAGGGCTCGGTGTGTGGGGGGGGACCAGCAGCCGGAACGGGGGCAGAGGCTTTCCGGAGAGACAGAAATTGAAATAAAACCTGTAGATAGCAACAGAGGGTCCCTAAGCGATGGAAAATATTTTATGCCTTCATCTCACTTGCACAGCTGAATGCCAGATCACCAGAAGACAGCGCTTGCAGGACAGGATATCTCCTGTGCTCTTCCCTTGAGGTCCTGTCATGGCTTGTATTGCCACAGCACAGTGATCGACCATAATCACAGAGCTTGATGTCCCCTTCAGAGACGCTTGTGTTCAAGTCACATTTTCCTCCATGAGAGGCTTGGGAGGGTCCTGGGGTGGTCCTGCAGCACTCCCCAGCCCCCTGTGTGACTCCAGGCAGGAGCAGCACCAGAGCTGGGTGGGGAGGTCCCCTCCAGAAAAGCCCCTCTGGTCATTATAACTGGATGCCATGCTGCTGGAAACTCAGCAACTGCAGAGTTGCTCTAGATTAACACCATTTTAGTGCTTAACTCCATAGTAACCTTGCAAAAATTTACAGAGTACCACTTCACTAAGCCCACAGAGAAAACTTTTGCCATCCACTCACCCCCTGGGCAGCCCCATCCTACCAGACATGGCCCTGGAATGACAAATGACAGCTATCAGCTTCCAAAGAGACCTAATGCCAGGACTTGCTTCATTATTTTTAAGTATAATCATCTTACCCTTCTAGAGGGAACAAGTGCAAGATGTGCTGTGCCTTGGCTAGCATCCAGCGTCTCTGACGCTGGGTCGCATCCCCCACATCTCCACAGAAGCAGTCTGCCAAAGTTTTTCCAAGTCCTTAAGAAAGTCCTCACACCAGATCTTAGGATGACTCAGCAAATAATCCTTACTTCTCTGCAATGCTGCTACAGTACACTCACAAAAGAGAAATTAATTCACAGAGTCCTAAATTAAGTTTAAAACTCTCAGAAATGACGTAGCAATATATTATCAAAAATAGACACCCCAAAAAAAATACCCAGAAGAGAAGGAATAACACAAAAGTTACTCAAAGCCTAATGTGGAAATGCTAGGCTTCAGAAAGAAGACAGTTTTCTCTATAGAAAGAAGAGGTGCTTCCCTCTTGATTTAGAGCAAGTGATCCAAGTTCAGGAATGCATCAGACTTGTTCATTAATTAAGAAGAATCAAAAGTGCATGGACAACTACTTTGACTTTGTAAGGTGATTTGTACATTTCTATACCACAAACTGCATTAAAACCAGGATACATAACCTTCATACTACTTTAGTATAAAGCAAAAAATAGGGTTAGGCAACTGATAATATATATAAGGAAGCACACAACATTGAATGTTCCAGTATCTGGACCGGAACATTCAATGTTTTGAGGTCATCCAGATAAGTATAAAAATGCTCTAGCACACACGTTGCCCAAATACAGCAGAAGAATTCTCACAGTCACGCCAAGCATGCTGCTCAGTGACTCGGACCAGAAGCATGGATCAACAGAGACTGGCTTTACTGCTTTCTTTTTTAAATAGAAGAATTCCCTAATATTTTATTGGTTACTTAAGCACTTTGGGTACTGTAATACAAAGAAAAAGCATTTAAAACTTTGAATGGTGCCTTTTTGTTAAGGTTACAAACCAAGAACTACTTATCTAAAGCAGGATTTGGGATTTCACTATTAAAGGGCTGCAGCAGAGTCACCCTGGAGACTGCAATGGTCTGTCACAGTTCTGTAAAACAATACCCTAATCCCTTGGACTTTCTTAAGCTAATTTTGGAAGTTGCCCTGACATTCATAATGCAGCACTTTGTCTTCATGTATTCATTTGCTGATACATCTAGCAGTAAATACTTTTTTGACACTGTTCCCCTAGCAGTCATTTTAGTTTGGTTTTGATAGTGTCTGTGGGAAATGTGATATTTTACACTAAAAAGAAAGAAAAGAAGAACAAAGTACAGAACAATGAGAAACTTTCCTCTCATGTGAAGGCAGCTCAGCTGGCATGGAAGTAGATGGACTCACAGATGTGAAATCAAGGGAGGCTTTCCGGTGATTGCTGAATCATTTCTTCCTTTGTTATCGCTATGGGGCTTCCTGTCAGCAAATCAATAGTGCATTCAGGATCCTGCTAAAAGGCCAGATCCTATTCACTGAGGAGCCCCGATTAGCCATGTGATGTCAGGGGACCTTTCAGATCTAATGCAGTAACATTGTACCCGAATAAAGGTCATCCACATCCAGAGGTGGAGGAGTGAAAGCAAACGGGAGCACACCCATGCACCACTCTTTGGGTCCATAATAGACTTTACAACGTGGATATCAAGGTTCATTATGTTGTGCCCTTCTCCTCTATCAGATAAGGGAATATTATTCAACAAGATATGTTATTTTAAGGGAACAAAACAAAATATATCCAGAGTCTTCAATGGAACAAATAAGCAAGTTTTAGCAAGGATGCAATGTATTGAATTCACAAGGGTAACAAAGACATTCCCTCTTTAGGATACTAGATGACAAACTCCAGGTAACAGACACTGAAAGCCTTTTTTGATACACTCTGTGTTAGATGCATGAATTCCTCCCCCAGATACACAGGGGGAGAAAAATAGAAGTAGATGCTATGCCTTTAGGGTTATAGCAGGAGTTCAGAATCACTACACACAGCCTCCCCTACTGGCCAGCCTCCAGCAGCAGATCCCTTTGGGAGGTCGCACTGCTGCCCCTCACCCGAGCACGGCTCTGAACCACAGAGTACCTGCACCTCACACTGTCTTGGGGCAGCCCGATTCTCATCTGAAAGGGGATCACACCAAAAGAAAATCACACATTTGTGACCAGGCCTCCAACTCTTGCTGTTTCTACAAGGACTGCTGTTGACCGATTGCTCATTTTCCATTTCCATTAAAAAGAGTATAAACAGGTATCAAAATGACAAAGCTCTAGCATAATTGTGTTTAGTACCTAAGGAAAGAAGCAAAATCACTTTCCACCCAAGAGGGTCCCTCGTGGAGAAGATGTCTGCCTCTAAGCTCAGTAGTCCCAGAGTGGTACTGAGAAGTGAGAGTTGTGCTTTTTTTTAATAAAGGAAAAATGAATTAAAAGAAGACACACACAAGATTCCTTCTGCAGGGAGCTCTTTTATCTTCAGCAGCAAAGACATGATAACATGACAGGTTAAGACTCCAACAGGGTTTTACTGCCAATCAGGTACTTGCAAGATGACCAATTATTCTATTTGGGAGTCTGAATAGGCATTGCCCAGAATCCTCCAGTTTCTTTGTTGTGCTGGGCTCAGATCTCTGCTCAGTCTATGCACCACTCAGTGATAAACCCTGCCAGACTATAATAAATCCCCAGAGCTTACTTACTGTGCTGCTGCTTTAGAAAGACAGGCAATAGTGAGTATAACACACATTTCAAGCTCCTCCTGCTCGCTCTAAAGCACACATCATATTTCAAAACATACATCCAAAAACATGAGGCCCTCCTTCTCAATTAAAGCAACAAGAAGCCTATGGCCAACTAAAGTCTGAGATTCAGAGAATATACTGATACTACATAAACAACAGCATGCAAAAAAAGGCTGCTGATGTTATAAATAAAACTGGGTTTATAAGATCCACTATGAAAAGTGAGTAGCACTACTTCTGAAAAATAGTGTACAAAATTTAAACTGTAAGAGCTTTGTCCATGTTAGCCAAACTATAGTTGTAATTTTATTCAAAAGTCACTTTTTTAAACTAGACTGACATTTTAATACCTGCTGAAATACAGTTATAGTTCTGTTATTACCTTTTGCATAAACAGAGCTAGTTTCTCTAAATTCCTAAGCAGTTAAGTACTTCTGTGCTAATGGTAATTACCTCCTATATCACACTTTCCATATTGTCATTAAGGGGGAAAAAAGACACTGGTAAGTATAATGTCAAGTACTGAAGGTCTGTACTGCATTGAAGACCAAATAAAGAATCCACTGTGAAGTTCCACTACTAGCCAACACACATCTTAAGCCACATAACAGAATTAAGTTAAGGACAGCACTATCTTTGAAGAGAGGTCGATGTTTTAACATGAAACACTAGATTGTACAACAGAGAGGAACACTTTCTTCAGATTAATTTGTATCCTTTTTAGCTTCAAGGTTTAAAGTTTCATTACCTGCTACTTCAAACAGCCCTGTCCCAGCTTTTAGAGACAGTGGAATGTGATAGGTATGATGCATGCATAAGCAGCTAAATAAAGCAAACAAATAAAACCCCTGAATACTACAATAAGAGTCTGCTGTGCTATATATATATCAAGACACTTTAGCATCTAAATTGAAAGTAGTAGCTATATCTCTTATTTCTTACTGAAGCCATAGACAACTTTAAATACACAAGTAAAAAAAAATAAATAAAAAGCTGTTATTTCTTCTATAATTTGATCATGTGTTCTTTCCCTAGACACCCTTACTTTATATGATTTTCCAATATACTTTATTTTCTTAAGCTGTTTTTAAACTGAAATAGCTTTCTTTATCTATGATGATCCCTGAAACAGAGTGTTCACTTTGATCAAAAGCAAACAAGGAGGCCACCTAGCAGCATAGTACAGGAAGCTACCAATAATACATTAGCTGAAAGCATGACTGTCTCTTTCCACAGAAAGTTTGCAAAACAATAGTACTCACAAACACAACCATAATATAATTTCCTCCATTTTCAAAGCTAACTACACCTCTCAGATAAGAGCAGAAGACATAAAAGCAGATAAGCTATAGATCTTAATAAGAAGAAAAGATATAGCAGAACCCCTTATCTATAAAACTTCTGAATCAGTCTTCTAACCTTTAGCACCCATACAAAGAAAAAAAATAAAAAAATGATGCAATTAAAACCCAACAAAATCTCCAACCTTCCTTCAGTAAGGCAACACTACCTTTTTATAATAACCAAACATTTGTCATAAGAAGCCACCTCTTCTCAATGAAGGCTGCAACATCCAATCCCTTCTTTTCCAAACAAGGCACAGCTGAACTCATTTCTCTCACCTGTCCTTTTTCGTCTTATCAAGCAGATGAAGCTAATAAGCTATCTATTAAAGGTGCGTTGTTGGGTGTTGCTTTTTTCTTTCTTTCTTTCTTACTTATTTTTTTTTTAATTTCATAATGCCACTTAGAAAACAAAGAAATCTGTAAAATAAGGTAGCTGTTTCACTTACTGTTTAGATGCCTCTATACTAAATGACTAATATAAAGTTATGTCTGTAAAACATATGGTAAGTGGGAAAAAAAAAAAAAAAGAGTAACTATTTTCATTATTATAGCATTAATTTATAAATATATGAATGGTTTGAAACATTTTAACTGGAATTATCTTTCAAACACAGGATATCCTTAGCAGGACTTCTACTGTTGCTAAAGGATTTGTCTTGAACTTTGCTGCCTTATTGTCTGATCCCTCTCAAGAATTTGGGTGGAACTAAAATGGGCAATAACTTAATTCTGCTCTTTGTCCTGTCCTAGTAGTTGTTTCTATGGCTGGGAAAGCTGAACTTTGTGTAAAACAGCCCTAGAGGAACCATAGCTTACAGCCTGCTCTACTAAAGTAAACAAGCACTCAACATGCAGTGTTGCAAACTTTATTAGGTCAGAAGGTGCTTATTTGTGGTTCAGTAGTACTTTCCCTAAGGCTGAGACAGATAATTAGTTTTTGCTAAGTTAAGTCTGCCCATGCCTATGAGTCAGAGGTGGCTGACTGACATCACTGAAGTGATTGAAGTATTTCAGGTGCTTTTGGTGAAGCAGGTGCTGCCAGTAACCATGCCTCTGAGGTGAGGAACATGCTTCACCTGATACTGATGCCAAGGTAGTGACCCAGATTTTTTCAGCTCTGTTCTGAAAAATGGCAGGATGTGAGACTTACAAGATTTTGTTTTCCCCAAACAAATACTGCTGTGTATATAAACCATATAGCGTGAAAAAAAAAAAAAAAAAAAAAAAGAATTTTTTTTCCTTCCCCTCATGGGAGCTAAGGTAAGCTAGTAGTTTTGCTTTGGGGGATTAGAGAGGATTCACTCCTTTTCCAAGTATTTCACCTTCAGCTATGGTAAAATACTTCTATACTGTGGGTATCAAAGCTAAGGTTTTTAAATAGAAACATAATTGAGAGTTCTTCTATGTTTTGTTTGTTGATTTTGTTTGTTTATAAGATGAACTGTATTTATAATGAAGTGTTTGATG